ACGTTTGCAATAGTGGTGAAGGTGGTAGAGGAGATGGGTGGTGAGAGAGAGATGGGTGAGGGACAGATAGAGGAGAGAGAGAGACAGACAGAATGATAAGGGAGAGAGAGGCAAAGTGGTTGCTAAAAGTACATTTTCTTGTAGTGGATCCATATATCGAGAGAGAGCTCAGTAAATAGAGAAGATGGGAGAGAGAGAGTGAGCAACGCCAACATAGTAGGGGGGAGAGAGAGAGAGAGAGAGAGAGAGAAAGAGAAAGAGATAGAAAGTAAGAGACAGAGAGAGAAGAGAGATGAACGAGAGAGACAGAGAGAGAGATAGATAGAAAAGAAAGAGATGAGCGAGAGAGATATAGAGAGAAGAGAGATGAACGAGAGAGACAGAAAGAGAGATAAAAAAAAAGAGATGAGCGAGAGAGACATAGAAAGAAGAGAGATGAATGAAAGAGACAGAAAGAGAGATAAACGAGAGAGATAGAGAGAAGAGAGATGAGCGAGAGAGATAGAGAGAAGAGAGATGAGCGAAAGAAACAGAGAGAGAAAAGAGATGAGAAAAGAGATAGATGAGTGAGAGACACAGAGAGAGACAGAGAGATAGACAGATAGACAGACAGACAGAGAGAGAAGAGTGATGAGTGAGATAAAGAAAGAGAAGAGAGAGAGGAAGATGAAAAAATGAGTGAGAAAATATAGACAAAGAGAGAGAGGGAGAGAAAAAGAGAAAGAGAAAAAAAGAGCGAAAAGAGATAAACAAGAGAGAGACAGAGAGAGATGAGTGAAAGAGCGAGAGAGATAAAGAGAAGAGAGAGAGATGAGTGAGATAGAGAAAAGAGAGATGGATGAGAGACACAGAGAGAAAGAGAGATAGACAGACAGAGAAGAGTGATGAGTGAGAGTGCAAGAGAGATAAAGAGAAGAGAGATGGACGAGAGACACAGAGAGAAAGAGAGACAGACAGACAAACAGAGAAGAGGGATGAGTAAGAGAGAGAAAGAGAAGAGAGACAGAGACACAAAGAGAAAGAGAGAGACAGACAAACAGAGAAGAGTGGTGGGTGTAAGAGAGAGAGAAAAGAGAGACAGACAGACAAATAAGAGTGATGAGTGAGAGAGAGAGAGAGAGAGAAAAGAAAGACAGAGACACATAAAGAAAGAGACAGACAGACAGACAGACAAGAGAGACAGAGACAGAGAGATAGGAAGATGAAAAAATAGGTGAAAAGAGAAATGTTCAAAAGAGTAAGATGACGTCGTTTTTTTTTTTTTTTTTTATAGAAAAATACCGTTGCATTTATTTAAACTATTTTGTGACTATATATATGAAGCTGTCTGAAAGCCACAATATAAGCCACAATATATACATACATATATATATATATATATATTTTACTCTTTCTTTTTTTGGCAACGGTACCTATTACAGTCGCAAAAAACTCTTCTTTTTTTTTGCGACTGCAACTAGTACCGTCGCAAATACTTTATTTTTTTTGCGACAACAATTTCTGCCCCGTCACAAATACTCTCCTTTTTCGCGACAGCATTTTAGGCCGTCGCAAATACTCTATTTTTTGTGACAGCAAGTTGTGCCGTCTCAAAAAGTCACATTTTTTGGCGATGGCAAGTTGTGCCGTCGCAAAAAGTCATTTTTTGCGACGACAAATATGTCGTCGCAAAAAGTTCCGTCTTTTAAGCCCACTTTTCTTGTAGTGATAGAAGAGATAGAGAGGGGTAGAGAAACAAATGAGATAGAAGACAAGGGTAGGTTTTGGAATGAGAGAGATAGGAAAAAAAGAAGAAGGAAGAAATAAGATAAAATTTATAAGATAAAATTTGAACAAAATTAAACATTTAAAGTGATAAATTGTATAGATTTTGCTTATAAAAAAGAAAAAAAAAGAAAAGAAGAGGAGGTATAAAGATTTAAGGAACATATCCTTGAAACATCAAGAAGAATAAATTGAAAAATGTTTTTTAATTAAGGATAGACGTGTAACTTTTGAAAGAAGAAACAAAGACTCAACTTTCATTTAAAGTTTTGAGTACAAATAAACTATTTTAAGTATGAAAACTACTCAAAAGCTTGTAATGGCATGCAAAATTGCATATGTTGAATTCAATTAAGGGATTGAGAATTGCTTTCAAATGTGAATTGACTACAAACACTAGTCCTCTTATTGAGGGAGTACCTAGAAAAGCAGAATTTATTAGATTGATTTTGATTAATTAACATCGTATTTTTTTGCAATTTTTGAATAAAAATAGGAAGTTTTCCTATGAAATAGACTTTAATATGTGGGAGTGACAAAGGTTGTCAATAAAGGTGTAAATTTGATTCGGCCCGCCCTGCTTGGGCCAACCCATGTTGGGTCTTGTAGGCTCCCACCAAAATTTGGATTGGCCCAGTCCACAGGTCAGAAAATTAAGCCCAGTCCTAGGGAGTATTCGGGCCTGGGCTCGGGTTGGGGCAGAGCTTAAACATTTATTTATTTTTTATTTTTTTCACCAAAATTCTATTTTTTTTTCACCAAAAATAACACTAGGCCTCGGGCTAGACTTTGAGTGAGCTTTGAGCAGGCAGGATCATGAGTCGGGCCGAGTTTCAAAATGATGGCTCAGACCCAGGGTCCTGGGCTGGGGCTTGGGTCTAATCGAGCCAGGTCTATCCCAGACCTTGAACGAGTTTTGAGTTGCGGACCATTTTCTCACTCCTAGTTGTCAAGAGAACAATGATATTTTTTGAATGTGAAAAAGTCATGTGTGAATGTGTTTCATCCAAGAAATCTCAAAGCACTTCAAGTCTTGAGAGATTTGAAGTGATTATAAACTGTTGCAGCACTATAAATGCCTCAAGACATTAGTCATTAGGGCATTTCTAATGGTATATTAATTTTTTTATTAAATTTAAAGAAAAATTTGAGTAAAAATTTTATTTGATATCAAGTATTTTAACAGATGTTTTGTAATTTCATCAAACCACTGGTTGACCGAGCGGACAACCGGCCGATCAACCAGCCAGTGTATTTTTTTCATAAATTTTTACCTTGCGATGGTCATCTGGGGGACATTCGGCAGTGAAAATCCAACGGCAATAAATAGTAATTTGATGAAAGGTACATTGGTCAGTTTGATAAAAAAAAAAAGTGAAATCCTGAATTTGATGAACCGTTGGAAGAATAAAAAGTAATTTTTTTCATTAAATTTAAATTTGATGATGAATTTGATAAACCATTAGAGATGGTGCTAGTCATGAGCTTCAGTATTGTAGCATTTTACATCACTAATATATATAATGTTATAATGTCACTCATAATTATGATTAATTTCCTTGTTTAAACAAAATTGTTCAAGAACTAGCTGATTTTTTTCATGAATTTAAAAAATGAACAAATCAAATTATCAAAATAAGATTCATATTTCATAGTGAATTGTAGAATTTTTATTTTAAAAAAAATATTATAAAAACTAGAAAAAATTATATTTTTTTTTCTCATTGATGTGACATGTAATAATAAAAATTTTATATTTGACACCCAGGCCACTATAATAATAATCTGATAAGTACTATATTAGTTATTATTCAAATATTATAAAATTTATTTATTTGTATAGAATTATTTAATAAAAAAATTATATCACTTTTTTTTTTTTTTTTTAGGAAATGAACAATTTAAATTATATTAAAAATTTATAAAATTTTAAACTGTTAATTATATCCCTTTTTTTTTTTTTTTTGAGGACATGAAATGGATATGCAGATAAGGTGAGCGGTACATAAATTATTTCACTTTTATACTTAAGGTGATTGTTGTAGGTTGATGGCAGAGAGAGATGTGGTGGGCTGGGTTAGGGGTTTTGTTTGGGGTTGGGCTTGTGTTTGGGTTGGGTCGGATTTAAACCTGTTTGTTAAAAAGAAATCACTATATACCGAAATGTTTAGTACAATAATAAAAAAGAAGAGTTAATTATTTAAAAGTCTTATTTATAAATGTTATAATAGTTTAGATCTTATTTAAGATTTTTTGAATAAATAAGTTTTATTTAGTAAAATTGAAAATATTATCAGTTTTTTTTTTTAATTTTTGAAATTAAGAATATTATCAATTTTATATAATAATGTTCCAGATAATTTTTTCACTAATGGGAAAAATAAAAAAATAAATAACATAAGATTAAACGTTTTTACGTTCTATTTATTAGCTTGATTCAACTATCTAATATAAATCAAGAATGTTATTAGTTTTTTTCAGTTTTAATACTGAGAACATTACCAATTTTTTTCATTTTAAAAAGATATATATACATATATATATATTTTTTCTAGTTTTATATATCAATGTTCCATCATCATACTCCTTTATAGACACAATTTTCAATTTTACACAAAATAATAATTCAATTTTTTCAAAAAAAAAAAATTTGAAAACTTTTTTTACACATAATTTTTTGTTGTTTTTTCAATTTGAAAGTTGATATTTTAAAATTTTAAAAATTAAAATAAATGTTCAATCATCATATTCCTTTATATATAATCATAAATGATGAACAATTATTATTTGAAAGACAATTTCAACTATTACAAATTTAATGAGACTTGAAGGTCCGAAAATCTTAATTAAGACTTAATAAAATATAAGTTTATAAATTAAAATTTGTGTATAAATGTCTCTCAAAAAATTCTATAATTAATGAAAGACATTTATTTGAATTGAAAATGTTTCCATGATTAAAGACGTACTTTACTAATGTCCCTATACTATTACCATCATTACCTCTTCCATCACCACCACCACTAACACCACCACCACCACCCAACAACCACATCAACATCTTCAAGGACCAATTTTATGTTCTCATTTTCAAAACATCTTGGAAGAACACTGAAAAGCCGAGAACCATCTCCAAGCTTTACTCTAAAAAATAATGCACCAAAGAGTTTCGTTATCAAACTGATGAATCAAGTGGATATTAAAAATTAAAAAAAGAAAAGAAAGAAAAAAATCAGTGAACGAAACTCCTGCTAAAGCGGAGTCAGGAAAAGGCAAAGCCAGTGTACTCAGCAATCATATAGTTCTCGATCTCTGATATACCATACCGATACAATTTATATACACATTTGGATTACAAGACTACATAAAATGAAAATAGAAAAGCAACATTTAAATTCAAATTGTACCTTGGCCATATTCACAAAACACAAAATCCCACATTAGAAGTCGAGCCTTGGCCACTGATTCCACAAGCCTAAAAGGGAACTTTGGAAGCTTTTAAACGCGAGCGTGAACGCTGACCTTTTGCCCTCGCTTCAAGTAGTTTTTCCTTCAAAGTATTCTCTTTTAGTTCTGGAGGCAACTTTGAAGACGACTCGGATATCTCAACATCTTGAGATGGAAGTGTAGCCGTCCACTGTCTTATTGGACTAGCGTGTCGTCTCCATAAAGAGTTGTCAGGATGCATGTTCCGAGCTTCTGACAACAAATATTGACTATTTAATAAATCGTTGATGATATAATTCGACTTTGATCCATAGTTTCCATCACCATTTTTCTTTCCCCTGAAATTGCCCTCTTCTGGAACTTCACAAATTTCAGACTTCCTAGAAATGCTTGCTTCAACTGGTTGTGCCCTTTCATGAGATGTAAGATTTATATTCATATGATTTGGTTTTGCTCTGTCATACGTGTTGTTTTCTTCAGGGTCGTCTTCACGTGGTTTTAAGCCACCTGAACTCGGTTTGTTTAGCTCAAAACAGTGTGAATCGCTGCCTGCAGAATCCTCATCATCACCCACATCTCGAGGAGCACTAACAACCGCATTCAAAGGAATGGATTCGAGAGAACTCCGGCGAAAGTTTGAACCCTTTTGCACCAAATTATCATTACTTTTCAAATGACCATTTCGTCGAGCTTGAAGAAAGTTCTCTATTTCAGAGCTTAACTTATCCGCTACTGAGTTCTTTTCTTCTCCCACTTGCGTCTGCATCCGTTCGTCGAGCCATGATTCAGAAATATGGAGAAATAACCGATCACAATTGGCTCCGTCAACCCAATCCTTGTCGGTTTTCTGTTTCAAAACATGCAGCTCTTGTTCAAAATCCCTAATTCCCAAAGCAAACTCATCGCAAAGGTCTTCCAAAAGCTTTCGTGATTTTCTCTCCCGTTCTAGCTCTTTCAAAGCATTAGCAAGAGACGTTTTTACCTCGGAAAGCTCCCGAGCCAACTTCTTGTGAAGGCCCTCTGAGCGTTTCCTTAACTTCCTCTCATCTTCTAGTTCATCCCTTGCGGATTGAATGGCTGCACTAATCCGATCGTGTTCCCTGCTCTTCCTAACTAGCTTATCTTCTGAGATCTGATTCCTCAAGTCCTCTATCTCGTGCCTATCGGCTTGCTGATCTCTGACCAACTCTTTGATCTTGACACGAGCATGGTCAAGCTCCTTTTTCAATGCTTTCACCAGCAACACATTCGATGTGTGCTGCTCTTCCAGGCTCCAGATTCGATTCAATACTTTTAGCAGTTCTGTCGATGTTTTGAGGCTATAGCTTGTCTCTCCGATCCTTCCTTTTAAGCCCAAAGAACTGGTAGGCGTGACGGCAGGGTTATAGGGAGCCACCTGAAAGAGAAAAGGAAGTGGATCCATGTAAGAGGTATAAGAAGCACGGACACGGACATGGATATGCTGGCACAGAAATTTTCAAAAAATGTAAAACACGTTAAGTGAGAGACACGTGCAAAATATAATTTGATATATTTATTATATGTTATATATAAGAATAAGAAATTATTATATGCCATGCACCTTAAAAAAAAAGCCGAATTGGTACACATTAATGTGTGTTTGGGAGGGGGAAAGATTAAGGGTTGGTTTAGCATAAACTAAATAATACAAAAAGTCAAAAAGTCACTATCCTATTTAACTCACATCATCTTATTTAAATCACATCACCTCTCTAACACATCACATCAAACCCAACCCAAAGCCAACCCATATAAGCCAATAAGTCAAAAAATACACTTTTTTAAAACATTCCAAACCGACCATAAGTACAAACCTAACCTTTGACATAATGCACAATTAGTACACATTATATACCATGTACCTAAATATTTAATTCAAAGATTATAGCAAAATGCAATGTAACACTAATTTTGAAGTCTAAAGAGGACAATAGGTATAAATTTATATTAATTTTCTTTTATCGTTGAATTTTTAATTTATTTTTACTTAAACTTATAACTTATTTCATGTGTGTCTAAGCAATACACGTGTCAACAAGTGTTTGATGAGTATCATGTCATGTTGGTATCCAACACAACCGGCCACATTCTTAGAAGTGTACGTGCTCCGTAGGGTATAACACAACAGAAGTTGGGCAATATAATAAGGACAAACAACAAATGCTTGTAGGACTCCAAGTCAATAGTTAAAACATGTAACTATCATGATTTTTGCAGCTTATTACAAGTTTAAAATAAGATTATCTTTGGCGTAAATTTAATAGAGAAAATCTATTAATTGATTTGCTGGTATCATGATTGGGGCAACATGTCAAACTCTACAAATCAAGAATAAGGTAGCATTTGGTAGAATTTTCTAAATATGATTTGAGAATCGGAGTTGTATTTTGAATTTGTGAGTTTTGAAATTATGATTTGAGTGTAGAAAATTTGTTTGGTGAATGAGTTTTGAAAAAAAATTTTAAAAGAGTTTTGAATTGAGTGAGGAATTTTTGATGTGACATATGATATCTGATACAAAAACTTACAACTCATAACTAAACACACAATTCAAAAATCTATTAAAAGCTCATAAAAAAATTTTAAAAAATTCAAAAATATTGTTTTATTAAAAATTAAAAATAAAAAAAATTCGCACTGTTTAGGTCAACCGACCGGATGACCGGTAGGCCAAATTTCAAAATTTAAAAGCCCGCCTAAAATGAGTTTTCAAAACGAGGGGTGGAATTAATTTTTCAAAACTCAAGCCAAACATCATACTAGAATGTAGGGGTGGAACTATAATTTCAGAACCCTTCCAAACATAGCCTAAGATTTTCTTTGGTGTGTAGATTTAATAGGAAAAAATAAGATTAATTGACGGGATGTTATAGTAATCAGTATCTTTACATGCCATATGAGAGTACAATTTTGTCACCGCAAATGGAGCTACCAAAGACCATGATGCTGCGGAATAAACCACACATACAAACAATAGCAAGAAAATCAATCAAAAACAAGAAAATAAGACACAGATTTCGTGGTTTGGCAAAAATTGCCTACATTCACAGCTCACATCAGTTTCGCTATACTCAGAGAAAAGAATAGTGTGGCTGCAGTGAAGATAATTATAATAATATTTATGTTACGATTTACATCAGCAAATTACATTAATACCCTTAGTTGGATTCACAACAGCATGGTGGAGTATACGATACTAATCAAGCTCCACAATCCCAACACATGACACCTTCAAAGAATATGATATTAATTAACTTCTTGCATATTAAGACCTAAGCTGGTGGTTCTGAACCAAACCAACATCATGCTCAATTTATGCAAATCTATTTTCAATTAATTTCAAATAATCATTAATTGCATTTTCCATAAAATGTGATGCTTACCTCCATGGAACTACCATAACTTGAAGGAGACACAGGTTGTATAGCATGATTGTTTCTTTCAATTGATCGATGATGTTGCATCAGCGATGCAGCAACATGTCTCCTCAAACCGCTCGCACTCCCTGGCTGTGGGGATAAATCAGAGAAAGATTAGTAGCAAACAAAGAGAAAACCTGCATCAAGAACAGCATTAAAAAAGTTCCAATTTATCAAGTATGACTGCAAAGATTAGCATTGCAATCACCATAACATGATGACTTACTGCAAGAATAAGACGACGCAAAACTTAAAAAAACATATGAACTAAACCAAATACATCTCAACAGTATGACTTCAACATAATTTACACCAACTGATATTACCATCTAAGGTTATCTCTGGTATTAATATTGATACGAGTCAATGGCATAGTTACAGTTGTGATATATTGCAGATTGAATATTCTAAAATTGGAAAACAATTACGAATTAATCTTTAAAAAACAAGGCAGCCAGCATACATAATGTAAATTAATCAAGAAGAACCGTCTAATTATTAAGACATTTGTTTGGACGATTAGGCCACGGGATTAGACTATGTATCCTGGTCAATCCCGAATTCCATGTTTACATACAAAATAGGCCCACCAGATTAGATTACTATTGAGTCCCAGAAGATGGTGGGATACAAAATGGGGGGGATAAAGAGGGATCCGGATTAGAGAGTTAAAAGATCAAAATATTCTCAAATTATAGTTTATACACCATGCAGTCTAGGTCTAGTGATTCCAAACAAACCTGGGATAGGATAGGATAGGATAGGATATTACTAATCCCCTCTCCTATGCCACGGACATTCCAAACGCGAGATAGCATAAATAATTCTAAGAGATTGATGATCCCAGTTAACAGTCTCATATACAATCCAATCCAATGAAACAAACATGACGCATGTGTATACAAACATGTCCTTCGGAACCAATTATGAGACCAGAAAAGAACAAAAGTGAATTAGATAGTGGAGAGACATCAAAACAAATTGAAACAGTTGATACAAAATACTTTCAGCAGCAGAGCATAATGCAGCAAGTTAGTTGTATATCTAAATTAAATGGAGCCAATATCTTGCGAGGAATATAAGGATTCCAAAGTGCATGTAAATCAAATCAAGCCCCACAAAAATTTTACCCCAACAATCCTAGGATTACAACAATTGACAGATGACTGAGAAAACAACCAACAATCGATAAGCATACCAAAATAATAAAAATAAAAAACCAAAATAGACACATCATCAAAAGACATAAAACCTCGTAGAAACAATCTCAATTAGACAGAAGATGAAGCAAATCAAAATAATTAAAATAAATAAATAAATTTAACCCAATATTACAAACCCCAAAATAAATAAACCCAATTAATCAAAACCCAAAATAGACCCATCATCAAATGACATAAAACCTTGTAGAAACAATCTCAACTAGAAAGAAGATGAAGCAAATCAAAAATAAAATAAAATAAATTGAACCCAATATTACAAACCCCAAAATAAACAAACCCAATTAATCAAAACCCCAAATGGAAGCAATCTCAATTAGAAAGAAGATGAAGAAAAGCAAAATCAAAATCAAAATCAAAATCAAAACCAAACTGAACCCAATATAACAAACCCCAATTACAAAAAACCCAATTAATCAAAACCCAAAAAGAACATGAATTAGTACATAGATATGAAAAGAGGGTAATTTTGTACCAGGTCAGGGGAACTGGGTGAAGGATCGGTAAGGTCAAGACCCTTGTGTTGGTGGTGGTGGTGGTGAAGGCGGCGGAGCCTAGGAGGCGGAACAGGGACGCCGTGGTGCATTTTAGAGAGGGGAAAGCGGTAGTGGTGGAGTTCCCAGAGAGTGGCAGCAAGCTTTCTAGCAGAGACTAAAGAAGGTGGCGGAGGAGGAACTTCAATAAAGCTGCTATCTTGCGCATCACCACCACCACCACCACCACCAGCAGGAGGAGGAGCTAGTAATAGTCTCCATGGGGGTAGTACTGGAGTGTGTTGTCCCCCTCTTTTCCCCACCACTAAAACCCCTCTCCTCAACTTTTCCCCCAAATTTTCTTGCTTTTCTGCTGGCCCTTCTCTACTTTTTTCTCCCCTTTTCATCTTTCTCTTTCTTTTTTTTCCTACATACCCACCATACACTATCTCTTTCTCTTTCTCTCTCTACTTTCTATACTTTAAAGTATTCTTTCTCTCTCATCTCATCCGTCTGCTTTGGGAAACTGTACTGTGTGTGATCTTCAATTCTTTACCATATTTCTGTTGTGAATTCTGCTCGTCTTTGCACTTCCCTGTCCAAGCTGCCATGGCAAAAAGGGTTAATAAGACCTGAAGGGGGTGGATTGAATCAGTAGCCAGGTGTGGGTTGTACGAACTGTGTGAATGTGTCCTGCAAACAATGTCCCTCAGAATTTATTTATTAGTATTGTTTTAATGGAGAAATTTACTATGCCTCCGTTTGAGTTGTGTGTTGATTTTTTGACTTTTTAATTTTTTTTTTTTTTTGATTATTTTAGTTTAGGCCCAAAAAACTTAGTTTGAAAAGGATTTTTGAATTTTTTAGCTTTTTTGATTTTTTGTAAAAGAGAGAATGTAATAATTATGGGTTGAATGTAGGGGTGAACGCGGGTCGGTTACGGTCACGGAACTTTCAATTCGCCATCCGTCCGCCAGATTGACGCATTGAAGAAAATCAATCTACATCCGTCTGCCAATCCGGCGGATGTAGATTGAGCGGATTGGAGGTTTGGTAGATGGATGCGAATCGGTTTGGCGGTTTGAAATTTTATAAATTTTTAACATAGTTCAACTTGTGCATTTCCTCAAAAAAAAAAAAATATATTACAGTCAATGACTTAAAAAAATATTATAATTATTGCATGCCTCATCCAAAAAAAGAAAGTTTGAAACTTTAAAATATCACAATCACTGCATGCCTCATCCATATATTACAATCACAGCATGCCTTATCCACATAAAGTAAATATAAAAACAATTCAAACCACCAAAACCATAAACATAGCAGTAGTAGAGATTGTATGTCTCTGTATTGTTACATTTATATATATTTTTTAAAACAAAAAATCAACCAGCATATATCATATTTTCTATTTATTACTTTTAAAGTTAGATTTAAAAACAAAAAAATATAAATAAATAATACGTTTATTTTTTTCAATTCAAAAAATATATTCAAGTTGAAAACTTTCTTTTAATAAAATATTTAAACTCTTTTCAATTGAAAACACAAACAAAAATATTTAAACAAATTGAAAATACAAACAAAATATTAAAACAAATTGAAAACACAAATTCTTATAAATTATTAAGAGTGCTCGTGGTTTGGCGGTTTGGTTGCGGCTAAAAGAATCTCAAATCCGCCATCCGTCCGCCAAATTGGCGGATTGGAGAAAATCAATCCGCAACCGTCCGCTCGTCATCACGCATCCGTTCAAAATGCGGCGGATCGGATCAGTTCGGTCGGTTTTGGCGGATCGGTATATCCACTACTCACCCTTTAAATGTGCTATTTTGTCTGGCCTCGTTTGGAAACATGCTATTTTAGTAATTTTTTGACTTTTTAGTTAAAATATGAGGTAAAAAAAAATTAGTATATTTAGGGTGACTTTTTGACTTTTTACGAAAAGATGTGCAAAAAGTAGAAAGAAAATGAAATCTTTGACTTTTTGCGAAAAGATGTGCAAAAAGTAGAAAGAAAATGAAATCTTTAACTTTTTGGTATAAGTTATAAATTTTTTGACTTTTTTAGTAACTTTTTGACTAAAATATTAACTTGCCAAACGAGGGCTTATTAGACTAAAAAGTCTATTTTATTTTTTGTGACTAAAATAATCAAAAAAGCCCCAACCAAGACTTCCCAAACGAAGCCAATGTGCATCCTTTAAACTGAACACATTATAAAAAGTAATGATTTTTATAGTAACGTTATGATTGTTTGTGATTTGTATTATGATATTTTATAATAAAGTTATAATTAGTAAATTTATGATGTATATCCTAAAATTAGAAATGATATTATTATGACATTTTGTGATTTTTGTTATGACATTTTAAAATTTTGTTATAATATTTTTCAGTAAAAAAGGTTAAGACTTTTATAGTAAAAAAATTATGACATTTTAAATTTAAATTATAAAATATTGTGAAAAGATTATGAAAAACATACCATAAGCACCGTTTTGAAAATTTTCATTTTATTTAATGCAATTGATATGGTATGGGTATTTCTATTTACATTACAAAATTATTTTTGTTATATTTATTTTTTAATTAAATATTTATTCTAAGATAGAGTCCACGTGTGTGATTTCAAAGAATTGACGACATTTAGATCAGAATTAAAGTCGAAACTAGAAGGGATCACATTCCTATGCCTTAAACTTCACACACTAGAACAATCCCCTGAGTTCTTATTTTTACACACGTAATCCTTTACACTTTGTTTGGACAAAAAGGAAAAAATAATTAGCGTTTCTCACCTAGTAACAAAAGAAATGCAATGATTATAGTTTATCATCAGTTTGTTTGAATGAATAAAAAAAAAGCAGTGGCGCTATATGTAGTAATTAATAATATTAATTAGTGTACTAACATATATTATGACGTTATCACTTCAAAATTATGGACATCTCCATTATACAAATTATAAAGACTTAAACCTCTAAAATTATGTCACATCATTCGTTAATACATTAATTGATATATTAATTGGTGCGTATAACCTTATTCAAAAAGAAGAGAATATGATTTCTCACCAATCTTACTTGGACAAAGTAAATAAGAAAAAAAATAATTTATGTTATTTTACCAAAATAACGATTCATATTAATAATATATTTTTCTAGCTTCTTCCACTATGGAGTAATTTTGATATTTTAAAAAAAGTTTCATTAAATCCATTTTCTTTCTCACCAATCTCACCACTCTTTGTGAGAAACAAAACAAAATTTTGGTGAGAATTTTTTTCTCACCATTTCTCACATATTAACTATTCAGACAAATAAAATGATTTTTTATTCTTACAATTTCTTTTATTTTCTCACCAAAGCCCTAAATCTAAAGGGAGTGTTAAACTTCTAACTTTATCCACTTCAACTACTATCTTCAGTTGTCATAGCAGCTACCTCTTCCCCACACAAATCCTCTCCCCAGCCCCCTTCCTCACCGTACCCTTTCCCCGAGCTCCTCTCCCAACTATGAATTCCCTCCCTAACCTTTCTATTTTTATTTTTATTTTGACTTTTTTAAGAGTTGAATGAGCTAATGTGTTTAGGGAAGTTGCTAAAATATTCATTTTGTAGAGTAAAAAACATTTAAATTTTTTTAAAACAGAAGTTAGCTTTTTACGATGTTCTTAAACAAGCTCTTAATCTCTCTTTATTCATCACATGCATAATAAATTTTATACATTAATAAAAAATATATATTAATACACGCAGAAAGAAGTTTACTAAAATTGTATTTTGAAGGTCCCTACGCTTTTGTCTAAAGCTATATTTTCTCTCAAAAGCTAGCAGTTATTTATGGACTGGGATTCTGTTTTCAATTGGTGTAATGGACTGAATTGTGTGTGTCATGTGGGCCACTTTCATTGAAGGGACTGGACTCTTTTGTGTTAGGCCTCAGTGGGCCACATCTCGAACCCACAATAGTGAGCCAAATTATTCATGTTTATGCTAAGCTAAGTGTCTTTTTTTTATTTTCTTTTTTTTTTTTAAGGCTCCGTTTGTTTTGACGTAAATTATTTTCGTCAAAAATATTTTACTCATTTTTCATTGTTTGATTGAACAAAAAGTAAGTAAAATATTTTGCATCATTTTCTCAAAAATGACTTATCTTTAAAAATTTTGTAAGTCAATTTTTACAAAGTTAACTCTCACTCACTATCTTTTCAACACATTTAGTATTTTCAAACAAGTATCTTAGCTTACTAAAAAGTTATAAATTGCATTTTATTGAATCAAAATTTCTCTTTTAGACAATAAAATATTTTTATTTCAAGTGTCAACCAAACGCTGAAAAATAAAAATATATATATTTGTAAAATATTTTACGTTGAAACAAATAAAGCCTTAAGCTGAATAATGAAGTTTAACTATATGCAAATATATTGCTAAATGAAATTAAAAGATAATAAAAACACACATCTAAATTTATTGTGTGTGTAATAAAGTCTAACTGTGAAGAATTATGGTATTTTAATTAAATTCATTGTTGAATACAATTCTATTACAATTACTCACTTAATTCACGAAACAAAGTAGCCGACTAATATTGAAGAACTAGTCGATGAATTGTGAGGTGATATGTCACTCGAATCTAGAGTTAATTGATTCTTCTTAAAATGCGTTCAGATATAACAATTGATTATGTACGATTTTATTCTATTGGTGAATGTCCAAAACAATAATAATAACAATAACAATAACAATTGTTTTGTTAAATGAATAGTTTAATCTAATTATGTGTTTATTTATCTACTCCACACCTATACATACAAACTCATATCTCTCCGCACATTTATGTATATCTCTCCGCACAGTTATGTATTTACTCCAATTTCACATTTCAATTCAAAGTTCACTTTATCAAAGCACATTCAATTTGCAGTCCACTCTATCAAGCATTGAGTAAAGGTAACATCGAAGGATGTACTTGCCACGTCGTTTTCGTTTCATTCTGTATCTCTTGCTTTGTTTTGTAGAATTTTTATCCATCTCAATAACAAAACGGGGAGCAAAAATAAATATAAATAAATAAAATATTAAAGGCCACAGCTTTTCTCCGGTCCAAATCTGGATTGGACGGTGCTGTCCGGCCCTTGGGGCCCCACTACAGGTCGTGTTTCGATAATTTAAACCGTGCAATGTGTAGAACTCGTCGAGTACTATATGCCTGTAAAAAATCACGTTGATCGGATATCAATAGCTATATGATCAAATCAGTTTTTTGTAAGCCGTTTATTTTTCGCCGTCCATTTTTTTCCATAAAAAACTGATTTGATCATATAGCTATCGATATCCGATCAATGTGATTTTTTACAGGCATATAGTGCTCAACGAGTTCTACACATTGGACGATTTAAATTATCGAAACACAACCCGTAGTGGGCCCCCAAGGGCCGGATAGCACCGTCCAGTCCAGATTTGGACTGGAAAGAAGCTGTGCCCAATATTAAAATATTTTTCATTCAATTTTTACTTGTCCCATCCTAATTTTTTTTTGATTCCATCCCACTTATAATATATTAAGTTTAGTTATGTATTTAATTTTTAATTTAAGTGAGGTTAATAAGTGCCTTGATATGTAAGAAAGATAACGGAAAAATAAGACACTTTTTATTAAAATTATAAAAAATTTCATTCTTTCATA